CAACATAGCAATTCAAAACCATATAGTATGACTCCAATCACATAATACAACATAGCAATTCAAAACCAATGTAGTATGACTTCAATGTCTTAACACAACTTAGGAATTCAAAACCATAAAGTATGACTTCAATCACATAATACAAAATAGGAATTCAAAACCATATAGTATGACTTCAATCACTTAACACAACTAGGAATTCAAAACCATAAAGTATGACTTCAATCACATAATACAACATAGGAATTCAAAACCATGTAGTATGACTCCAATCACATAATACAACATAGGAATTCAAAACCATATAGTACTACCCCAATCACTTAACACAACTTAGCAATTCAAATCCATATAGTATGGCTTCAATCACATAATACAACATAGCAATTCAAAACCATGTAGTATGACTCCAATCACATAATACAACATAGCAATTCAAAACCATATAGTATGACTCCAATCACATAATACAACATAGCAATTCAAAACCATGTAGTATGACTCCAATCACATAATACAACATAGGAATTCAAAACCATATAGTACTACCCCAATCACTTAACACAACTTAGGAATTCAAAACCATAAAGTATGACTTCAATCACATAATACAAAATAGGAATTCAAAACCATATAGTATGACTTCAATCACTTAACACAACTTAGGAATTCAAAACCATAAAGTATGACTCCAATCACATAATACAACATAGGAATTCAAAACCATATAGTATGACTCCAATCACTTAATACACATGACTGTGATACATGTATATTATTATGAACTACAAAATTAAGATAGTTTTCAGCAACCACTCACTTACTAATTTTTTTCCTGCATGTAAACTATATTTACATAATAAATAATTTCTTAACGTTTTCTTGAAGAATGCTGCAATAAGTACATGCATGGCGGCTGATTTGCTTAATGCTCTAAAGCTGGTGTGTGTGTCTTGGCAGTATGTTATCTCTTGCATAGTATCTTTCATCCCCATACCTGTCTCTCAATAGGTGAATGCCAAGAAAGTGCGGGGTAGAGAGGCTGGTATGGGGTCCCTGGGCAAAAGGAATCAGGGGCACAAACCTGTAAGTCTCATCTTTCTTATCTTTCATCCATCCCCTTCAAATAGTGGTGTATTCTTTTATTTTTTCACACTAGTAACCTTTAACTTATTTACTTGTAAATACGCATGCTGCTCTCTTAGTAATTCACTGTCAAAGCTCTCATTTACATATATCATTTGTCACATAGTAGCACTCATATCAAAATTATTCAGCAAGCAAACATTTTATTTTTGTTTCAGGTACTTTGTTAAAAGCAGCGAGTTTCAAATTTGTTAACTATTGGTGTGATTTTCTTTCAAATATTCCACATTTGAATATGTTCTATCACCTCCTCTTACCCTGTCCTCTGTTACTATAGCAACAAATACAGCATATTCTTTTTTTTTTTAATATTTTATTTTAGACAGGCATCATTTGTAGGGTTAATCCTGTCCTGGTTCACTATTTCAGGATACATATCCGTTCCGTTATACCTTGACTCAAGGACCACACAAACAGTCAAATTCCAAATCTAGTGGCGGTAGTGGTGACAAAGACAAGGAAAAGAACAAGGAAGATGAATTCAATGATGCTTTAAGAGATTTGCAGATTAACTGGATGGCAAAGTAAGTCAGAACAGTGACTAGTATTACATTACACTGAACATTGGAT